CCTGTCACTGCCAGGGTGTCTGTGTGCCAGCCACGGGCCCAGCAGGAGCAGCTGCTGCTGGAGCCCCCGTGGAGCTGCATGGGAACAAAGGACTCGAGTTCTGGGGGGCTGGAGGACAGCAGCTGCAGCTCCTCTCAGGTTGCAGGTTGGGAGCAAGTGGGATGCCTTTTTTAAGTGCACACTTTGGCATCTGGTTGACAAACGTGGCCATTCCCAGCCCCTAAGCTGTCTCCCCTCTTCAGCACTCTGCCCTTCCTCTGCTGAGGAGCAGCAGGGTGGAAGAAGTTCCACAGCTGCCCTATCCTGACAGCAGGGAAAATGTTTCTCTTCTACCCCACAGCTGCTGAAACTAAGCACAAGACTCAGCTACAGCCAAACTACCACCTTTATACAGAACAGAGCAGTACCACCACGAGAGCAGTTTGAGTGGTAAGAGGGACAAGTGCACTGGAGGAGCAGGACAGCCTGGTGGCTGTGGAGCACAAGGCCCCACATCTGCCACCTCCTCTTCTACCATGTGGTCCCCATGGCTGCCCACTTTCTGCTCTCCAAGCTCAGTCCCAGAGCTGCTGCAGGGACTTCTGATCACTGCTGGCTCAGGAGGACAGTGCAGGGAACTGCTGGGGTTTCCTCCACTGCCCTCATGCCCCAAAGAGGAGCCTCCAGCCCAGCTGCCCCTCAGGGGAAGGGGATGGAGAAGGACCAGGGCTGCCCTTGGTGATCCAGCAGGGACAATGCAGGGTTGCCCCCACTTCAGATTCTTTTCATAGAACCAAATCATACAATAGTTTTAGTTGGAAAACACCTTCCAGACCATGAAGTTCAACCATTAACCCCCAGCACTGCCAGGTCCCCACTGCCCCGTGTCCCTCACCCCACATCTCCACAGCCTGGAAACCCCTCCAGGGGTGGGGACTCCACCACTGCCCTGGGCAGCCTGGCACAGCCCTGGGCAACCCTCCAGGGCAAGAAATTGTTCCTCAGGAACAACCTCAACCTCCCCTGGGGCAACTTGAGGCCCTTTCCTCTTGTCCTGTCCCTTGTCCCTTGGGAGCAGAGCCCGACCCCCCCCTGGCTCCAGGCTCCTGTCAGGAGCTGTGCAGAGCCAGAAGGTCGCCCCTGAGCCTCCTTTGCTCCAGGCTCAGCACCCCCAGCTCCCTCAGCTGCTCCTCCCCACACTTGGGCTCTAGACCCTTCCCCAGCTCCATTGCCCTTCTCTGGCCACCCTCCAGCCCCTCAAGGTCCCCCTGGGAATGAGTGGCCCAAAACTGAACCCAGGATTCAGAGCATGGCCTCCCCAGTGCCCAGCCCAGGACAGTCATTTCCCTAGCAACTCCCTTTCTGCTCACTGACCTGCTCTCCCAAACAGCATTCCCACTCCCCTGTGAGGTGGGTGAGCATCAGCTCCTGTGTCAGGGGCACTAAGTGGCAGAGCAAAGCCACCATGGGCAGCAGCCTGTGAGCCTGGCTCAGCTTCTGGCCCTGTGCTTTAGGGAAGCATCCCTGGATTTAATAGGGGGGTGGCATTCACAGGCTGGCAAGCTGACACGTTACAACAAACAGTTGATGTAACAGCTCCCCAGCTGCTTGGCTTCCACCTTGCAGCCATCTAGGTCTCAAGCTGCTCAGTGACACTGCTGTGAATGGATTGTCAGGACTTGCTACAACACAAGTGAAAACTATGAACAACTTGGATTTAAATCCATCAGACCCACAGCTGCAGAGCAGCTGGTGAGGGCTGAGACCCGAGGACCCTCCAGCACTAGGCATTTGTTAGTCATGAAGCAAGCAGGGAGGAGAAACAGAGAAAATGGAGCAAGCAAGCCAGACTCCCAGGTTGTGAAATCACTGTTCCCCCTCTGAAGGCAACAGACTTCTGGTTAGTTACTTGTGGTAATTTAATCAGTCCTGATCTCACTCAGGACACTCAGAAGCGAAGTGTATTTGGATATGAAACGACCAAAGTATCTGGCAGAAAGAACCACACAATATTCTCAGAGATAACAGAAGATAGAAAGTTTCTATACCTGTCTTCCTGCATACCGCAGAGCAAGCTTTCCACTCACTAATGCCTGCACATCTTCTGGGCTAGAGAGGAGAGGGAAAAGAGCATTTATTCAACAACAATGTCAGCTTAGATCTAAGCCAGGCTCCAAAATTCCCAATTTACCACGATCCAACTAACACTGTACCAGAAACACTGATTAGGTCATAAATAAAGACAAAGAGCAAGCTGGGCTGCTTGAGTTCCTTCACCAGAGTCTTAGAAACAAAGGTCTCTCCCACTTAAAGGTAGGAGTGTTCTTCACAGAACCCTTCTCCACGTACATGTTCAGCATGATTTTGCACAGCAACATGTATTTCAGCGCAGTGATGGCTTTTGGGTTGTCAATTGAATCATATCCCTCAAACGCCTCATAAAAATAGGAATAGGCTGTTTTCCAGTCCTTCTCCTCTGCTGCGTGGATAATACCTGTCAGGAGGAACAAAACAGGCACGTGTCAGAGTCTGTTCTGAACAGGACTGAGGAGGACAGAACGATCTGGTTGCCTGGTGCTTTCCCTGGTACTTCACTCTGGATTCACTGAAAGGAATCCTTCCCTCCCGTGCCTCCCCTCTCTCACAAGAACATCCAGGCCCTCTCTTAAGAGGACATGTTAAGAAAGACAAGTCCAGGGCACTTCAGGTAAGTGCCTGCAAATGAGGTCAGGAACGTTACAGCTGCACATGGTGCAGTGCTGCAGTGCCAAGGGAGGTGATGGACCCTCCACCACTGGAGGTTTTCAAGAACAGCCTGAGAAAACACAGATCAGGGACTATGTAATTACAGCTGGTCCTGCCCTGAGGCAGCTGGGCAGACCTGTGGCCACCTTGAGGCCTCACCAAGCAACATTTTCTACAGTTCACTCAGGAAAGAAGACATGTTGGCCAACAGATGCATTATGAGAAGCTCAAGAGTCTCCCTTCTCCCGGGGGTCTCTACCTGACTGCATGTCCAACGCTGCCTGCAGCTTGGGTGGGCAGTAGATGGCGTTGGCTGTAGTCCGTGCAGAGGTTAAGGCTGCTCTTGCTTTTGGCAGGTTGCTCAGGGCGTGGTAGGTCTTACTTTCCAAGAGCTGCACTTCCACCAGCAGCGCCTTGTCGTCCATCTTCTTCAGCTCCCGAAGAAGCTGGGAGCCTGGCAGTGGGGAAGAGCCACCAGAGCCTCTGTGAGCAGCTCTGCATGCCCCACCCACAGCTACACAAAGCAAGTCCCCCCAGACAACACCCGTCCTCCCCGCCAGCAGGAAGGGAGGCTGGGCTCACACAGCCTGTTCATCCAAGAATCACAGAATCCTGGGGCTGGGAGAGACCTTTCAGGTCATCAAGTCCAACCAACTGTTAACCCAGCACTGCCAGGTCACCACTAAACCATGTCCCTAGAAGATGAAAAGGAGCAGAAGTAACAGCAGGCCAGTGTCAGTCCACATCTGGAGAAGAATGGGCCAGTTTTGTGTTAGAGGTGGAGAAGGGCAGTGGGAATACCTGGGTGTGTGGACAGCATGTCTCTGCCACCTCACACGGGCAGCAGACACTCAGCAGAAGGACAAGGATGAGCTGTGCAGTTTGAATTGTCACTCTGGTTGCCCTTCCCCAGATGACAGCATCATTTTCACACACACATTCAGAGCCCTGAGCAAAGCTGCAGCACTGCCCATCCCTGCACCATTCCCTAGGTGAGAGCTGAGGGCTTTCAACAGCTCTCAGGAATACAGGATGAAGAAGGAACGTTTTAAGCACAAGACACCTACAGACTAAATTTAGGAGGTAGGGGTGGACAGCCTGTGAAAAGCCTGAACTGTCCCATTAAAGCCTTGTGAGGACAGAGGCAGCCTTGGAGGAAACTCTTCCCCTTCCTGCCCTCACTAGGCAATAAAGAGTTAACTTTGGGCAGGCAGAATGAGAACCTCACCCTGTCTGCTGTGCTCAGGAGCTGAAAACCACAACCAGGTGGAAGAGAAGGGACTCTCCCTGGCACCATCTGGAGGAGGCTCCCTGCTTGGAGCCACTCCCCGTGGCTGTGGACATGACCAGGACTTGGCCAGCCACCCAGAAATGGCAGCACACGATGGTGACATCCTGACAGAGCTCCCACAGAGGCTGTCCTGCAGGTACAGCCCTCCTCAGCTCCCAGAGAGGCTGTCCTGCAGTACAGCCCTCCTCAGCTCCCAGAGAGGCTGTCCTGCAGGTACAGCCCTCCTCAGCTCCCAGAGAGGCTGGGGCGCACGGGCCCACCCCCC